CTGGAGAAAACTCTTCCAAAATCGGGTAGAAAGCTAAAAATTTAACAAGACAAAATGGCTAAATATCCAAAGAAAAATCAAGACTCATGAAGTTTAAACATTGAATTTTACAATTAATATGGTACTTCACTCTACCTCACTACGAACATAGCAACGATTAAGATTTAATACACAGGTTTAAGATGAGTCATCAATATTTGCAGTGAACTTAATCCCAGAATGCAACGTTAAACATGGCGTATCGAGTGCAAAGTTTACAACTTTCTACAACAAAAATTTAGTGATTTAAAGTGTTTTAACAATGGAATTAAATATTCAGACTTGTCTTAAATGCTGCAGTAACATCCAGTTTTAGGATGACATAAATGGATTTAACAGACATTACGGAATAAACACGTTATTACTTATAAACACAAGGAAATATAAAGAGGCATGTGGAAAGCCTCCGTAAACAACATAAACAATGGATAAAATCTGGAAAGATGGCTGGCAAGCACCATTTGTTTTATATGCAGGCTGGCTGGTCAATAATTATCAGATCGGAATGTATATTTAATGTATGGTACATTGCCAAATACTTCACATGTTCACTGAAATCTTGTCAAACTATGATTAAGCCTACAATGTTGAATGATCGGAAAATAACCAGAAAACCAGCAAAATATACTGGTGGTACACAACAAATGTGCAGGTAATTTATCTTTAACATGTTAAAAGTTATAACACAATTGATTTGTTTACGGTTACGGTAACCGCACATATGTTGAAATAAATAATTAACTTTCCATAAAACTGGAAAAATCACCTAAGTGCCACATAATGCCGGGGTATTACAATACTTTATTGTGATTCAACCAAGGTATAATTATAATCTATTGTGATACATCTCCAGCAGTTATACCAAACTCTGATAATATTATGTTTCATGGCATGATTTATTATTGTATGGTGGCTGTTTTGTGCCATGTCAAATTTGGCTCTGTGGGGCACCAGACGGAAATACGACAAAGTCAACATTTTGTGTACGAAAATTTTTTCACTTTTTTCACGAGACGAAATTGCAAAAAATACTACAGTCAACATTTTGCTTCACATGGCTTATGACTATAACACGATATACAACAGTCACCATGTTGTTATACTTTTTCTCCGTGATGCGCGGAAAAATATGACATGGCACAAATTAGCCACCATTTAAATAACACGGTATTGAACTGTTTACTAATGAGGGGTGAGGATATGTGAAAAGCCGATAGCACAGTCGGTAGAGCCATTAAATTGTATTCTTAGGATAACACCATCTGAAAAGTCTCAGAAAGGTCGCACATTTTTTCAAACTTGGTAGAAAATTTAGGTAAAATATTGTTTATTTTGGAACTTGAAGAAAATAAGTAAACAAAGTCAAAACTTTGTTAAATAAAATAATTGTTTTCAGGCCGTGAGTCCTTTTTGCACTGCATCACAAATTTATGTCACTATTGTCACGTCATAATTTGTCTTTCTAACATGAACTACATGCTAATTATGCTGTCTTAAAGCAGATAATTCTTTTTAATTTTCACTGCACATTCATTTGTGGTTGAATCCACCATCTTTAGCGTTCAATTAAACATTTTATGAGATAATTGAAGAGCTAAATGACTACGGTCTGATAACGACATTTGCAAGCTAGAAACTTTAAGTTAACAAATAACTACAACCAAAATACAAGTCCTTGTGCTTTTAATTTAAGTAAAAAAACTGTGAGATGAAGTGTTTGTCCACCATATGTTTTATATATCTTTTTGTGAAATTTAAGGTTCGTATGGGGTATAGTTTATGAAATTGTTTGATATAATTTGTCTCATAAGTTTACATTTTACTTTATTAATAAATAAGGTTTTCAATTGTTTTAATTAAGTAATTAAGTCACACTATGTTTGTAGAAAAAAGAGGAAAACTGATCATTATGCTCTATTTAATGATGTTTTGAAATATTAATTATTTTCCTAGTTCGTTTGGTAAACGGATCAAGTCAATACGAAGGGAGACTTGAAGTTTGGCACGATGGATCTTGGGGAACTGTTTGCGACAATGGGTTTGATGCACTGTCCGCAAGTGTTGTTTGTAAGATGCTGGATTATCCACCGTAAGTCAATTCTATGAAATACCAACAAACTTCTCAAATGTTTTTGTTTGAGGCGACTCATTTTTTTGTGTGAGGTTTACGACATGAAATGAACAATAGTAATTGATCGGCTTATGATATTCAAAGGATATTATTCATGTTCTTGTTTACGTCAAGCAAGTTAAAGACGTTTAATAAATTATTGCATTACGTTAAAAAATGACTTATATTTAGATATACATTGTATACATTGTATCTGAGTTTGTTTGATAAAAAATGTGTTTCTTTCCAGAAATAATGCTCTGGTATTCGAGTCTGCACACTTTGGCGCTGGCACATTGTCAATTCATTTTTACGATGTCAAATGTACAGGAAATGAAAAAACGTTATCTCAATGTACGCATAGGGGTTTGGGAACACATAATTGTAGTCACAACGACGTTGTTGGTATATCATGTCCACCAGGTAACTTTTTTAAAAGATAACAAAGAACCTACCACCGCTTTATTTAATCCTTAGAAGAATTTGTGGAAGCAATTTCAATTTTAAATGTTGTATCAATGGTATGAAATTTCAGACTGTTTTTTGTAGTTTATCGTTAGAGTGCATTTCTTCAAATTGACTTTTAAGTATTCCTTCGTACGTCTTTGTATATACATTGATTGTTTATCATCTTACTTTCATGGTATTTTATTATAGTCTATACATTTTTGATATACGCTACATGTCGATTCATGTTGTATAATTTTTTTATCTTCGACCATATTATGTAAGGATTTCGCCTTGCATTTCTTGATATCCTTAATTTTCAACACTATATTGTCACACATGTAAGCAGAAAATATAATGAAATAACCATGCACGGTGTTCTCATAATACGATACTATAGGATATCTCAAAGCAAACCATCGAATAACTCTCCCTGTATCTGCGGCTCTTTCCTAAACATATCGTGTGAAATACAGCTGAAGTGAAATCTTAAATATAAAGAAAGCGTGTATTTTTTAGATATGTCCATGAACAGGCTCAATCAAACCGAGCCTGCAACATTTTCAATTTTGCCGTGTTGGGCTTTCTTTAGGGATTCTGTATTTATCTATTTTATCAAAAACAAGGTATAATTTGGTTAGAATAAACAAGGGCATAAAAGTTGCCATGTTTTGCATCATAGCGACTGAACAAATACAAATTAAAAAGTCAAAATAAAAAGTAAGTGTTTATTGTCGCCAATCATATCTCCTTTTTAGGTATAGAATAAGTGTTTTTTTCTATTATTCTGTAAACTATTTTAATAAAATAAAAATATTGCCTTACTCCACAATATTTAAATGTTAATAAGGAAATGCGTAAGGAAAGTGGCAGGTACATCAAAGTTACCTGACTTTAAAACTCGATATGCATGTATTTATATATCACTTACTAGTTCTTGATGCCAGTCGGTTTAATTAAAGGTGAAAAAAGAATAACTTCGGATACTTGCACCTTCAAAGTTGATAATTGTTGTTTATACTTGTAAGCATACATTAACGGTGCCTGACTTAAATGATGTGCATACTCGAAAACGGTGTTTTTCGTTTTTGTTTTTTGTTTTTATGTCCCACTGATCGCTTATAAACATATTCGATCCCAAGAGCTCTACAAATCTGCTGCGTCGGTAAGTAAGACGGCCAGTCAGACTGTCAGGACAAACGGGAAGATATTTGGTACCGAACATAATAGTAGATAAGAGTAAATTCTATTATTTCCGTTTGTTATGCTATGGCTTAATTGGAAACATTTAAACAAAAAAAGTTTCCTATCAACTACAAATCCTTAATCCCTATTTTCTTCATACTTTGCTCAAGAATAAACCACAATAATGTTACATGCAGAACCAATGGCGCTGATGTTCCGACTTAAGATCAAAAGCAAGACACTTCCGCAATTGTTTTAAAATTCCATATCCATTTTATGGAATTGTTTTCGAAATTCACTTAAATAGTGTTGTTATTAACAAGAAGATATACAGAACTTGCCCTGTCCTGTTTTTAATTGGGGTCCTCCTTGGCTCCTTGCCAATGCCTCTTGTTGCTGGATCGTGTAGGGTTGCGTTCATTGAACGCCGCATTTCCTTGTTGATCTTGTTTACCATATTTTATGCTTATGAAAAATGTAGAAATTATGATCATCCTAATTGATATACAAAAATATATTTTATGCTATTCTAGATGTTCGATTGGTGAACGGGTCAAATCAATTTGAAGGGAGACTAGAAGTTTGGCATAATAAGCGGTGGGGAACAGTCTGCCATAATTTATTTAATGAGCGCTCTGCAACTGTTGTTTGTAGGATCCTGAATTATCCACAGTAAGTAACAATTATTAGCAACCTTTTTCCGAATATGAAAATATGCATGTTATAATAAGAAATATCCAATTAACGTCTTTCACTTACCTCATATGGATTTAAGATAAAACAAGTATGAACCTGAGAATATGATAAATTTGTATCATAATGTTGATAAAAGTCAATCATGTACAACGTCCAGCATGAAAACAGAGACGGCGATTCTTAAAACTTAGCTTTTCACAGTTGCCGCTTGTTCGAAGCAGATATTTTAAAATATGTCAATGTAAAATTGTTCTAGGTACATTGACAAAGCTGGAATTCAATAATGGGCGAACCATATGACTCGCACTATATCATGAAGAATATATTAAAAAAACCCATATTCAGACAAACAATAAGGCTTTCAGAAAATATGTCAATTTTTTAGTTTTTACTTCGCCATCTTTTGTGAAAACACAAACCGTGAATGTTAAAATGGATAATCATCAGCCAGTGTGAGGATGATTTCTTGCGGCATCCATTTGTGCGTATCAAATTAAAGTTAAATATATTTTGATATTGTTAAATGCAGTTCAAAACTTACAAATTCGAATAAATACGGAGAAAAAACGACTAGAACAGTCATATGTCAAATTTCAAAATATCTACATGATCAGTTTATATCTTCAATAACTTCGTTAAAACAGAATCTAGGATGCTGCAACCTTTAACCGAGTGTGGCATATATATTGCATTATGGAATAGACATACTAATGAACTCAAAATAACAAAGAAACCCATTTGTCTGGCAATAATTCGTTCACCCGTTTCGAAAAATCAAGCCGTGTTCGCCATTTTGTCAAGTTTGCAACCCATTCGCTCGCTTGAACCAAGTGTGCAACCACTTCACGTCCTGCCCCTTGCTTATGTCTCCAGTTGACGTGTTAATAATAACAAGGACCCGTCTTATCAACGGTAGTACGACCATTTTTATCGTACGATTGTGGTGGTGTCTTATCAAACGTCGCAAATTTCCTTAATCGTACGATTGTTATATGATAGTGCGTTTTCTACGATCGTTAAGAAGCAGTCGTAGATCAAACAAAATGGCCGCCGTGCTTCCTGTAAATGCTACAATGCCGTGAAAAAAGTCGGCCTTTCAGGCATTGAATGCAACTATTAGATTGCCCGAGTGGTCATTTACTTGTGGTCGACTATCAGCTTGGTTAAAGCGATATTTGAGACTTAGAAATTATTTGTCGCAAGACCTTTCATTTTTAAAGGGTTGGTCGTATGCTGTGAGCAGTATGACAAAAATATTTACCTGATTTGTTTACTTAAACCATAGCAATGACGCGCATGCGAATAGAACATTGTGTCAGAAAATCATTCCAGATTAAAGAGCTTAAACTTATTTGACGTAATAAATCTAAATTTTAAATCATTGACATTTATGACACCCTTAACTTTTTTTATGTAGATCTAACTTGAATATTTTTAAGATGAGATAAATCCCGTAATTTACGATCGATGTTTTGCTGTTTAAGCATGATCATAATTCTTGATGATTTTTTTGTGTTAGCCTTTACTAGTTTACATCAGCTAAAAAATATAAACTATACAGTACATGTCGGAGGTTCTAACTTGATACTAAACAAATAAAAATGATATGTATTTTACTCATTCCATCAGGCATAATTTGTTAAAAAACAAAAACTTTACTTAACGTCTAGGAATTGATAAATATTCAAACAATGTATAATGTTCAACCAATTTGTCATTGTTTTCAAACGTATTTATATTAAATTGTAAACAGTTTGTTGTAAAGTGATTATAATATTTTTCCTTATAAGAGACAACTCAACCAAACATGAGGAATCCTTTTATAACAGACTATGTAGTACAGTCATCATAATGATAAAAATCCTTGTAATGCAAGTCATGTTTTAGTTAATAAAAAAATGCAGCAAAATCATAACTGTCATCGATTTGTATATAAAACTAATTCCTTTTAACCTTATTTTCAATATCATACTGAGTGTCAAAGGAGCTATTACCGACAGTGAATTTGCAGTTATGTATAATTAAATCAAAGTAATGATTTCTGTGTCTTTTGTCTGACATTTTGCAAACATTTCATTTCACACAGTGGATTGCAATATCTAGTTAAACAAATAGTTCATGCATGTTTACATTGCAGATACATTAATAAAAATAGTAGTGTTCTATTTTTACCTCTGAAATGTCCAGGCATATTGTACTTTTGTGTATGTGTTAACATACTCTTTGTTAAATTAGAGGCTTGGCAGAGCATGACAAGAAGATAACTTATCAGTACAAATTGAAGATGACAGAATTGAAAGCACAAGTCAGGAAATGCATTATTTAAACTCATTTATTCTGAAAATTTGGATTTAAATATACATACTAATCAACATAATATAATTACTGGTTCAAAGGACATGAATACAGTTACTCCAATGAAACAATGTTATCTTATTTTAACATATTACTATAAGAACGTTTGGTAAACCAGTATTTCACTTCAGCCAATATTAGCACAGAAGATGTTTTGAAATAAGAAACACTTTTTTTTAAAGATTTGATTATAATTTAACACTTTTAATCAGTGATTTTAAAATAATAACAAAAAGTGATAAAAACAAATTATGTTCCCCAATAAAGTCAAGTAAATTAAGAAAATCAATTGACAATGACTGCATAAAGACAATCATTATAATGTTCATGATAAAGCATATTTAAGTATTTTTTAATATAAAGAAACACCGCTGTAAGTCTACCAATCTATATAATATCTAATGTATGTCTCAATAAATCAACAAACTGCAGGGACTTAAACATGTATGCAAAACTAATGTCAATATTGTTTTCTATACACTCAGGAAGATTATTGAAAAATAATAGAAGTTATGTTACATGGATTATAATATTTCAGTATTAATGGTTATATAAATATACCTCTCTTGCCTACATCAGTTTTTTTATCAGATACCACTTATAGTTAAGGAGATAAGTGCTGGTAAGTATAATGAAATGGGAAATAATTATTTTACACTTACTGTCTTAATCAATGTGAAACAAATGATTCATAAACTTAAGTTATGAATATAATTAATTTAAATATAATTTATTGTATGAATTTCTTTCTGCGTTTCATAATCTATTATTATTATTTTTATTATGTTTTTTGAAGAAGAAAGGGGAAATTGGGGACGAAAGACGGGGTGTTTGTGTTTTTAAACGCACCAAAAAGCAGAGCACAATTTCAATAACCGTTCCCAATAGCAGTCGTTTTTTTCGTTTTCTTTAAACTAAAATGACTTATGTTGTTGTAATGTTGTGATCAAAAGGGCAACGCATTGATTTTAAATATAAAGCATTATGAAAGGATGAACTATGTTTTAACAAAAGGTTTGAAAAAGAAACGCACCGATTTATGATAATGTTACATGAACAACAATATGAAAACACCAAATTACGTAATATAACCCATTTTAATTTGTAAAAAAGTCAAAGTGAATTGAATATTATCAAATTATGAATAAGAAATGAAACAAAGATCATGATTAACAAACATTGACATAAGATTGTTGTTATGTGAGGGAAATGTCTCAAAATTGAAATTCGTAGAATAATACAAACTGTATTTTGCTTGACATTATATATTCACGCCATTCATGCTGAACAATATCTTAGGTTAGCATTCCACCCTTTTTGGTAATACGCATTACAGGAATTTATTTGTGATTATAAGATATTTATAAGCCATTCATTTTGTCAATGTATTAAGAACAGTAATGACTATAACCACCCAACATTTTTTGAAGTATAATAAGACGTCATAATGTTTTTAACCCAAAAATCTTCTATAAAACCTAGATACAGAACAATGTTTAGAAAGGCTCTATGAACGAGTATAAGTAATGACCTAAATATTCAAACTTGATAACAAGTATTTAAACACTGTAGTCCCACGATTTGAAAACTAGGACTATTTCCATGGTACAGGCGTTCTTTCTATAAATGTCATGCATTCCCATATATAATAAAAATATAATATAGACAGCAAGAATATATCGGAAACTGTATATGATCATGTTCACACATACTATCAAAGCATAGGCTATCGGAATCTGGAACGATACTGTAGATTTATGGAAAGAAATATCCGCCAATTTATCCACAATTGTGCTGTATATATGCTTATAATTAGTTATTGTTCTATCGTGATATTTTAAACGTTAATTAGCAAGACACTTTTCTTTCATGAGTTAACATAGTATAACAACATTTTTAATAAGAACAATAATAATTTTTCTCAATTTGTATTATCAGTGTAATAAATAGTACTATTGGTCATTTATATCTCACTACAGTGTTGACAATAAATACGACTCGATCGGTTTAGTCCGAGTTTTTAATCTTAAAAATGCATCAAAGACGCCAAATACTAATTGAAAAAAAAAGAAATTAGTAATGAATAATAAGCTATCGTACTTCTTGAAATTCTAATTAAATTATAATTGAATTAAATTGAATTATATATGTGTTTGGTAAGAAGATAAATTTTCATACTTTCAGGAGTAATCCTGTGGTAATTCCGTCCGCATACTTCGGCGCTGGATCATTACCGATACATTTAGATAATGTTAAATGTACGGGGACTGAAACAAGCTTAATTCAATGTCGGCATAGTCATTGGGGAGAACATAATTGTGTTCATGGTGACGATGTTGGCATATCATGTTCACCAGGTAACCATTTTCTGTTAAAATGTTTTTGTAATGTACCATTTATATATCAGCATACTATATTATAGCTTATCATAATAAAAATTAGATAAAGTGTGATCCCTCGGAAGCATTAAAGGGTATAAATCTATATTTAATGCAAAATTTAAAAAATATATCAACAGTAGAATAATATTGGTTGCATTATTATATGGTTGATTCCGAAAAATGTAACATTGAATGTCTCTGTTACTTAAAGATCCTGTATGTTGTTGTTACCACACTTAAGTGAAATTTCATATATGTATATACTTATGCTTTTTAAACAATTTTGAAACATCAAAGAATATGTAAAATATTCATGCAAACATTTTTCCACATTATATGTAATCATGAAAATATATGCATTCATTTCTAATTGAAAAATTTGACAAAGACTTTATAAAAAAACATGAAATGTAAATTCGGTAATATCTTTACAAAAAATATGCTTTTGGGGTCTGATAAATCTTCATTTGAGCATTATATTTATGATAAAAGAACATAATAAAATGAGTTACAGGATCTTTAATGATCTTTAATACACTTTAATAGTGTACGTAAACAGAATAAGATGTTCCAGAGCAAAACATTATTTTGCTATTTTAAGAAGGGTTTTATCCGTGTAGCAATGATTTTGTGCATGCGCCATTCGCTTTTAAGGCAATAAACTACCATACTTTTTTTTAAATTCAAAGAATAGTTTTTGTATCAGATATCTAGCTTTATTAATCACAACAAAATTACATGAAAATTTAGACTCGGTTTGATTGAGTCTGTACAAGAGGGATACTGAACAAGTGGATTATAATATTTCAGTATTAATGGTTATATTAATATACCTCTCTTGCTACATCAGTTTTTTTATCAGATACCACTTACAGTTAAGGAGATAAGTGCTGGTAAGTATAATGAAATGGGAAATAATTATTTTACACTTACTGTCTTAATCAATGTGAAACAAATGATTCATAAACTTAAGTTATGAATATAATTAATTTAAATCTAATGTTATTGTATGAATTTCTTTCTGCGTTTCATAACTTAAAATTATATGAAAAATGCAGACTCGGTTTGATTGAGTCTGTACAAGAGGGATACTGAAAAAGTGCAACTTCCCCCACGCCTCCTAGCACCGGCTTATGTGCTACTCAATTTTCAAAAATTTGGAATATATAATCCCGATGGACCATAAAGATGCTTCAACACTGAAGTGAAGTACAATGCAACCTTTTACAGAAGCAATTTGAATTCCTTTCGTACTGATATTATTGATTAGTATAAATGTGTACTGTTCTAAATTACGTGTACGTACGTTTGTTAATGTATAAGTTTAACAATATACCTTCTTACACATAGATCCTTGTTCCTTTTCAGTAACTCAACTGTGAAATGTTCGTTGTTTTTACTTCCGGAACATACTCCGCTTGTCATATAATGATAAGTATGTGCCGCTTTGAATTGTGCATAATGACAGCTGTATGAATATATCTGCGGTTGAGTAATCATTCAAAATTGCAAACTTTTCATGTTTGTATCCTAAAAAATGGTAAAGTCGGTGCTAGGGGACGTGCACGGTAGCTAGAATTTATTTCTACCGTTCATGTACAAGCTCATTCAAACCAAGCAGAGACTGTATCGTGTTTTATTTTAACGCTCTGGTCGTTCTTTAGGGCAGCCATTTTTTCATTTGTTCTATAGGCCACATGATATATAAAAATACGCTGGTTCTATATCTTCATGTGTCACGCTCTAGAAATATCTAGAAATAATTATAATTATAATAATAACAACAATAAATGAATGAATGGAATTATAATACCTGACTTGCTAAAATGGCAAAACAAAATAGTTATTATCATGGTATTTAGCAAATTGGTCAGTACATACTTTTTGAAAGTTGTAGTTCGCATGAGATAGCATTAATTTTATGAAAACTTGCTTTATATAAACTACAGTGCATTGTGGATTGAATACAGATGTTTTGTAAGAACAATTTAGCTGCCTTATTTTGACGCCATAATAAATTCAACGGTACTTTTATCTGCCGTTTTTAAAACGCGTTTAAACTTTATAGGCTAAAATATTACCGTTTATAATTGATATGTGCTGAAAGAAATCTTTAAGTGCGTGTCTATTTTCAATATATTTTTAAGAAATGGAAGTCTTTTCCCCCAATATTAAACAATGTACCAGTAAACAACTTCCTTTAACGACATATAATGTATAAATAATGTGAAGAATAAAGATGATAATGTATTGAAAGTAAGCTCCACTAGCACAGTGTGAGAGAAGAAAAAATATTGTCCGTTAATATTGGCTGTCAGATGCACAGATCTATCTCTGTTTTGCTCTTTAATGACAACGTAAATTAGATGTTGTTATATCCAAATATCTATTTTCATTAAAACGCCTAGGTGAGAATTACCGGAGTTGAATTGCAGAATATGATGCTAAACTCAGTTCAGTTGTTTTTAGCTGACATGTTTTTTTAAAAAAGGTATTGTAACGGTCATGTCAGCATTACCCAGCGTTTCCGTACGTAAACTTGTACCTACATCAAAAGTTCTTGGTGTATTGTCTTCATTGTTGGTCACAACAACCCTTTGGACAAGACCTTCAAGTAGCCCAGACTGTGACCTTCTTTTCTTAATGACTTAAATTTTGAAGATCAAATGTCTTAATTTTACTTGTTATTTTTTGCTGATTGTTGCTATAAGTGGAATAAAAATTGTTTTTTTCCTAATTGAATTGGGCGCCGATTCGATTCCGATATCATATATAAGAATTTCGATATGATTCACAACCAAACATAAACACGGAACAAATGCGAGTTTAAGTCCCTCTCTAACTAGTACACCGTTTTATCAAGCGAAATACAATTCACGGTAAATGTAAGTCGTTGATCCAATCAGTGAGTGCGTGTTGTATTTTCTCAAATAAAATGTCAATGTAGAAAAATTTTTAAAAATCATGCAACAAAACTTAAATAAAATATTTGGGACCTCTTCGGATTCGCGGAGGTAAAGAACTAAACAATGCAAAACGTATAATATGTTTTCTGTCGTGTCATGTCCTAAGTCGGTAACTTAATCGACCACGCCGTGGTGCAACACATGAAAAGATAAAAGAATACTGATGTTGATGTGTTGAAAAAGCCTTATTTTATTTTAAGAAAAAGTCAGCTTTGAAAGATCACTAGTCATATTATTGTGATAGTTTGTTTGATTAATAAAAATTGCTTTCTAAATAATTTTGAAGTAAACCACATTTTATTTTCATGAACACTACTACTAATAATATGAAATTAGGCAAGCCTATGAACGGGGAAGTCGGTTAAAGTACTCGTTCGTTTTTTATTTTACATTTTCGTTTTAAAGGTTTAATTCGGTATTTCATCTACCGCTTCCGTTTTCACTCGAAAACCCTCGAAAATTGTTATAAAGCCGAAAAGTGTTCCGTTATCGGAATACCCCGCCTAGTATCATAAAGTTTCATGGAAAATCGCAGCGTCAAACTAAACATGACACTGGAAATTTCACTGATATGTGAAGAAATCAAAAAGGAATTAAATTGTTTTTATGTGATTTCCTTTTAAATATACACATGCAGTCTTTAGCCGGGCAAATCAAAGGCCGGGTCCCCGTAATAAGTTAGGGATGAAATGATACAACTAAAAAATAAAATAAAATTATGTCAAGGGCCACTGACTTTTACAACAAATAAGCCTAATCGTCAACTAAAGACAAAAATATAATCACACGTGGATCGAATCGAAAAAAACAATCGAATCGGGATGGCTGAAATTAAAACTTTTGATGTATCATTAACTTAAATTTAATTAAATTAATTAAACTTTAATAAACCTTAGCTCTTTTACTTGAACTTGAAGGTAAAATTATTGAATTTTCTCTGATGTTTGCTATAATTCAGTGTCAAACTTGGTAATTGATTAAAGGGATTACCTTCATATTTTGACAAAACAAAATTTTGGACAAACCCTTCTAAAAGGTTTAACTTGAACAAAACAAGACTTGCTACCAAACAAATATATTAAATAATTTAAATATGACCTTGACTCAAGGTCAAATTAATGAAATTCTCTTATTTATTTTTTTCTTTAACTGGCTTTACTTTGTTATTTATAAATGAATTAACTTCATATCAATTCACAACATTTTTTGGCTAGGACTTCCATGTACATCACACTCAAATTGACATTCACTCATTTATGACATTGACATTGAAGGTCAAAATATTTTTTTTCACTGAATTTTGCTACAATTTTAGTAACTTTGTAATTGATCAATGGATTATCTTCATACTTGTACAAAACAACCTTTTAGACAAGACAACATTCAAGATTTAACTGACAGTGACCTTGAGTTTAAAATGACATTGAATGTCAAGGTTAAAGTATTGATTTTTTGTTATATATTCTTAATTTTATCATTTATTTATAGAAAGGATCCATACTTTGACAGAAATAAGTGTGACTAGACAGACATATCATGAACACAACAACACTTGTGACGAAACAGACATGTGAAATAATTTAGATATGGCAAAGACCTCTTACTGACATTGACCGTCAAATGATTAAATTTTATTATATATTCTGAACTTTATTTTTATTTATTTATGGAAGGGATCCATACTTTGACAAAAAAATAAATGTGACTAAACAGACCTATCAAAATTTTAAAGAAGGAAAAATCTATTTTTTTATTTTCTTTCTTAGATTTGTTTATTTCTTTGCTTTTAGAAAAAGTGAAAACGTCGAGCGTTCCCCCGTCCGTTGTTGGCCCTTGTTGAACTTGGATTTTTCTCAAAATGAACTTGCCTTGGTACACATTAAGCAAAATTAAATTTCGATTTTAATGATAAAATATATGCAATTGTTAAATATACACTAAATTTGAGATCTGTTTTAAAAGATTAAAAAATTAGTATGCTTAAGTGGTGCTTAGAAGTGACACACCATG